GCGGCTGCGGGGCTCCCGGCCGGCGCTCGCGTCCCCCCTGCTTTGCAGCCCCAGCTGGCGCGCGGCCACCCGCCCTCAGCTCTGCGGTGACTTGGCCGGTGTCCGCCCCTCTGCAGCCCGGGACCCGCCTCTGGGCCTGGGGGCCCCCGCCGGGCTCCGGGAGGGCCCGCAGTGGGGATCTCGCAGGGGCCCTTCCTGCCGCAGGCGGGCGAGGGATGTGGGTTCAGTGTGGGGCCGGCCTGAACCTGCCAGGGCAGCTGTGGGCCCCAGGCGCCCGCCCCAGCGGCGGCCTCACCGGGCTGGGGTGCGCGCCCCCTGCCGCGCCGACCCTTCCCAGCCCAGTGGCAGGACCCCGACCCGGTGCAGACCCCTGCGCCCTGCACCTGGGGCTGGGGTGGCCGTGTCTCTGCCCCGCTCCTGCGAGGCCCCTGGCAGTGTCCGTGGGCTGGCCGCGGGCAGCGCCGGGGGTGTCTGGGTGGGAGGCTCGCTCGCTGGCCCCAGCCCCAGAGACCCTCCCTGCCCGGCCGTCCCGCCCAGGTCCCGGCCTCCGGAGCAGGTTGGGGCTGTTTGGGTTGGCCTCGCTGGCCCGGCCCCGCCCGAGCCCGGGGTCCCAGGCCTGGTGAGAGCTGTCTGGCTGCGGGAGCGGACACGGAGCCCGGCGGGCTGCCCCTGCGCCAGGCAGGCTGCTCTGGAGGGGTCCTGTGGCAGCCCCAGGCGGGCCTGGCCTGGGCACCTGCTGTCCGCCCCAGGTCGGCCTCACGGTGGGCGCCGTCTGTGCCCCCAGGTGCCCTTCTCCTGGCCCGGGGTCCCGCCCAGCGGTGCCTGTGCCAGCCAGTGAACTGCCGTGGGCTGGGTGTCTCTGCTGTCGTGGCCTCCACGGCCAGCGGCGGGGTGGGCGCCTCCTGGCTCTGTCCGGGACTGGGCAGGAGCGTGGGGGCTGCCCTGCGGGAGGCCCCTGCGTGTCCTGGGCCCTTCCCAGCGAGGAGCCCCTGGCTGGGGTGTGGGTGGCTGTGCAGCCCTGGTGTGTGCCCAGGGCTGTTGCTGGACCGGCCAGCCAGGCTGCGCGGTGGCCTCCTGCTCACAGCGCCCCGGCCCTCCGGAGCCCCTGGAGTCTCGGGCGGGGTAGCAGGCGCTGGGGTCCCCTGCAGGCCTGGGTCGCGCCTGTTTCCTGAGGAGGGTCCTCCTCGGGCTGGGACTTGAGGCCACGTCTGCGGCCGCCGAGCCGGGCGAGGGCCGCTGCCTGGCGCTGGGCGGAACCCGGTGGGAGCCCCCCTTGCGGCAGGGCTGGGCCGCCCCTCACCCACTCTCCCAGCGGGCTGGTGCGGCGGGCCTGGCCCAGGTGGCCTCTGGCTTGGGGCTGCACACAGCTGGGGCCGGGGCCGGCGGGCTCAGGGCCCAGCTGCCCGTGGCGGTGGTGGGCGGGGCTGGACGACCCCTGGGCCAGCCGTGTCTGGGGTCCTGGGGCCAGCGTGGTGGGTGTGGCACCAGCAGACACCGCCCCCTGCCCTCCCCCAGTGCCTGCTGGGTTCCCCAGGGCGGCAGGAAGCTGAGGTTTGAGAGTCTGTCTCAGCCCCGCCCGCC